ATACTTTTTTTTTTTTTTTTTGAAATAAAATGTAGAAATGTTTTTTTGTTTTTGGGTCATTGGTTATCCAAAATGTAAATTCGTGAAATTTAATGGGTATTCAAAAAAGTCTAGAGGGGAATTTCACATAATATGCAGAAATTAGATGACTTTTTTTCTTTTCAACAAGTCTAAGTTCGACTAACGTAATTGGAAAGGTCCTTTACCATTTTCTAAAATGTTATTCAAAGTCGGTATCGTCCCCGGTGAAGTCATTGTTTTCGATGTTTTTCTTCAACTTATTTTCTTTCATTACGTTCAACAGTTCCACAGTCTGCCGCAGATGAGTGCATCAAAACTGCTGCTCTTTAAAATTGTGCTTTTTGTTATCTCTTCATTCTCTTTTTTGTTGAAGCTGTCGTAATTGGCACTTGTGGTCAGCAAGGAAGAAGAATGACCAGATGATGTTCGATGATCGGCGGGAAAAATTTAACCTTATTTAAATTACTTTGTTTTATTGCATTTGTTGTTTATTCTTGAGTCTACCTAACTAGCATTCTCGGGTACCTTTTCTTCTTGCTGCCTTGTGGCAGTTATTTTCTAAATAGCTCAATGCGGTTAATTTGAGCAGTGCCGATTTTACAGGTCCACCTCAGTTATTTCTTATAACAATTCAAGTAGTGTATCGTTTTCCACTTTATTTAGTTTTACTAGACAGCGTGTCCTGCTAACTTTTCAGTGTACGAGGTAGTGCCCATTGTTTAGCTACCAGAGAAGAAAACGGCAAAAAAAAAAAATCTGTAAAAGTTTAATCCGCAGGCCATTTGAAGTTGTCGACTAAAATCCAGTGGTATTGTCGCTTCATTACAGCATTCGATGCGGAAAACTGTAGGTAGCAAAATCCTTCAAGCAACACTTATGGTGATACTTTACCACTGAATCATACGATGAGCGAGCACTTCAAATCTTTAGTGTTTCTCAAGGACTCCTGCAAAGGATGTCATGATGAGCCAAAGGAATTAAAAGACCACTGGGAGTTTGAAGGTCAACTTTTAAACTGAGTTTCTATTTCGCAGAAGTATGAAGTTGTGCAGCAGTTCGGTTGCTGTTGGGGGTACTTATTCCCTATCATTCAATGCTGTACTGATAAAAAAATGCTTGTGATACCTACAGGAGACAGCAAGAAAAAATTTAGGTATTTTTTGCCTGGCAGTGAAAAAGAAGCCCGCGAGTTGCTTAATGTGAAGTTGTTGTGTGAAAAAATTGGGATTTAAGCCTTTGTTGGAAGAGTCGTCGTCTTGTATGTTTCGCTGTGTCAAGGTTGTAGAAAATAAGTCGGATCTAGAATTCAATTTTTAAACTGAGTATTTTTTTCATCGCTTTTTTTCCTTTTCGTTTTTTGTGACAATTATGCATCGTAAACATCTGGAGGATCTCATTCAGCAAACATAAGAAATATTTTTTTTTGAGAGAAGTGCGTGACAAGGTTTATTTTTTTAATTATGCGAAAAGACAGTAATTGTAGTTTCTGAGAGCTATAGATGCGTTTCTTGTCTTTCGCCAGACTTAATGTCTTTTTTGGATAAAATCCACTTAGACGAAACCTTTGGAATGTTACCATTACCGTCTGCTGAAAGAAGTTTTGGTGATTGCTCTTAAAAGAATTGTTTTTTTAATCAAAAATTTTCTCGTCTTTGTGATACTTTCTTACGACGAGTGGATTCATTTGACAAAAGTTTGTTTTCTTTCGTTAATAAATTTTTTTTTATTGTTGCCTTCGGCTTCTTTCCTCTGCCTTTGTCTTTTTTAATTTTCTAATTGCAAAACTTACACTTTTCTGCTGAAGGACTGCGTTTGTGACAGAATAGCCTTTTAGCAACTTTTTATTACGGGTTTTAGAGAATTTGTGAGGATTTTGGAAGCATCATTTATACAAAGTTTATATTTTTCGACGTTATAGAAATACAGCATCTTTTTCTTAGGAGGCCGGTTACTCACCACAATGTGCAACAAGCGAGTCGGTTTATCACTATTAAATTCCATTGTTGAAATTTTAATAACTACGGCGTAGCTACTGCGTTTCAGATGAATGAAGGGCGTCGAACGATAATACATTTGCTTGACGGGCAGAAATTGGAAATCGTGGTACAGCCAAGGCTGTTTGTTGAGGAGCTTCTGAACATTGCAGCCAGCCATGTATCATTGAAGGATCCTGACAAACAGTATTTTGGAATCGCCTATGTTGATGAATTGTGAGTCAGTTGCCTTTTTTCTCGAGTGTATTCGCGTTTTTATTTGTGTATTTATGCTTGTTTATTTGGCTTATTTATTAGGTTGTAGATGACTTTGTGAAAAGTTTTGTCCTTCAATGCTCATTTCAAAGAAATTTTTCTTTTTTGATAGTGTTTTACAACTAATATTTATACCTGTGTCGAGTTCGTTTCTAACCTGGCAAATCTTGGGTTTTTTCAACATCAGCTACTGACTTATTAGCTTTTTGATTTTCCAAAAAAGGCTGGGCTCTTAGTACCTATTGCGTCTTTTCTAGTGCAATGAAATTTTTCAAAGAATCTTTTTTTGTTTATTAAGTTTTATATAAAATTTCTTTTATAGTTACTCGTAAGTTGATAGGATTTGGTTGCTTATTTAATCATTTTACTAGTTGGTGAAGTTATCTTAGAATAGGTTTAGAATATAGTACATTCTTTTAGAGCACTAGACCTGTCGTACATTTCTGTCTGTAATATTATATTTTATATTGAATAACAAAAATTGTTTTTTTTAATTGCTATAGTTGAAATTGCAAAATCAGCGGTCTCTATTTTTCCTCATTTTTTACAAAACTCTTTGGGAGCATTTAAATAAACACGTGTTGCATAAATTGAATATGCAGAGCTCCTTTCTACTGTCACCTTAAAAATAAGTCGTAGAAGACTATTCAGCTTAATAGCGACTTTAGTATTCTCACGCTAACTTTCATTTTTTTAGTCGAA